GTACCATCAGCCAGACACCATCTCTACGAAGCTTGCCGAATATGGGTCAAAACCCCTTACAGGCCAATGTTGAATACTAAATTGCTAAGAACTCTTTGAATATTACACCAGGAATTGAAATCTAATGAATTTAACATAGAAGGAGATTCAAGTTAAAATTAACTAGAGTTTAAAGATTTAACTTTGTTAAAGTAAACGAAACAAATAAAAAGAAAATGAAGGAATTTCACACTTTATAAGAACTTTATTAATTTCTATTTTCATTAAAAAGTCACAGAAAGACTTCATAACTTATGGTTTTCCAAAGTTCGAGTTTGTTATTATTTATTCAATTATTGTGTATACTATTGATTACATATCATGTATAGACTTTGAATAAGTCACATTTATTATCACCAGAGAGAAAGAAGTTATGAAGCAGTTGAAATAATATATACAAGAGCGTTAATCTATATTCATTAATATCAGCATATATGCCCTGAAGCAGAAGCAAAAGAACCATTGTTCACCAATCTTCTACCTATATCTCTGTATATATCCAGTTTCATGTTTTCAAAATTCTGTGTTGATAGCAAACGTAGAAAAAAAACTACAGGACCTCCAAAAAAAAAAAAAAAAAAAAAAAAAAGTATTAAAGGAAATCGAGAAAAAAGGTCTAACCACCAACTGTAAGAAAACAAAGTGTATGACTGTCAGCTATAGAAAAGATGCAAGATGCTAATTACATCGAATAAGAAAAATATCTGGAAAGTGTTTAATCAGAGCATGAAAAATGCGACACCGAAGTCGGAACGCGCATTGGAATAGTAAAAGATGCATTCCCAAAGCGAAGAAAAGTAATAAGAAATAGGATAATTTCGTTAAAAACAAAAGAAAAGGATGAACTTTTATCTCGTATCGAACCTCTTATCAAAGATAACAGAGACAAGGGAAGGCATCGGGACATCTACCTGGCGAGCTCGTGTGAAAAAATGGCGGAATGAAAAAAAAAACGCCACTCAGAGTTACCATGGATAAGAGATTGTGGAGAGCCGTGATCGTTCAAGTGCTGACGGTACATGGCAAATAAATGATGATGGACTCTGCCTCGTTTTCGAAGTATGAGGGTTCAACATGTCGCACCCTTCATGTCCTACTTGCGTTTGTGCGTTCGATGACTTTTAAGGGCAGCTTAATATTCGCACAATATCGAGCAGAGCGAATCGGTAACTAGAAATTCTTAAAGCATATGGAAACAAAAGGAACACATAGTCAGAAATCAGAAAGAAACATGAAATTGCTTGGACACATAATGAGGAAGAAGGGCTTGGAAAACTAAACCCTCATTATTAAGGGCAAGGTATACAGGGGAAGGTAGCAACCTGATGAGGTTGTGTGAGTGGATGGCGGAACGAGGGACTTAGCAGAGAGAGAAAACTGGTAAGACCCACAAGGGATAGGAAGTTTTGGAGAGCCATGATTGCTCAAGTTTTGAAGAGACGCGAAACATAGTAGAAGAAGAAAAAAGAATTTCGGCCCTCTCTGTCATTATCAGAAACTGCATAAGATGTGCCTCGCAAGGACTATATAAGCAATTTCTTTTTTCTAGACTGGCTGTCAACCACGGCTAGATATTCTAGGTGAGGAGAGATGAGATGGATTCATACCTCCTACAAGTCATTATCATCGGTTGGTTGGTTGATTGATTTTGTTTAGTGACATCTATGTGTTAATACCGAAATGTAGTTTTTGAACGCAATTTTATGCCTTCAGCTACAGATATTTTGTACATAATTTTATATTTTCCGGGTAAACATATATTTTTAGGTATATAGTTTGTAGATGAAAAAATGTATTGCTGGTAATTTCCCTACAAAAATGTTGTTAATTTTTTTTATAAAAATGTATTTCTGGCAATTTTACTCTAAAAAGCATTTTTATATTATTTTAATATTGTCATTTTGCTATAAAACGTATTTTTGGTAATTTTAGTACAAAAATGTATTGTTGGTCATTTTTTTATAAAATATATTGATGGTAATTCTCCTATAAAATTAATTGCTGGTCATTTTGCTTTAAACATGTATTGTTGGTAATTTTACTATAAAAATGTATTGATTATAATTTTACTATAAAATGTATTGATTCATTTTTTTAAACATGTAAAAATTTTACTATGTTGGTTATAATTCTATTTTTGTTGGTCATTTGCTTTAAACATGTATTGTTGGTAATTTTACTATAAAAATGTATTGATTATAATTCTACTATAAAATGTATTGTTGGTCATTTTGCTTTAAACATGTATTGTTGGTAATTTTACTATAAAAATGTATTGGTTATAATTCTACTATAAAATGTATTGTTGGTCATTTTGCTTTAAACATGTATTGTTGGTAATTTTACTATAAAAAGGTATTGGTTATAATTCTACTATAAAATGTATTGTTGGTCATTTTGCTTTAAACATGTATTGTTGGTAATTTTACTATAAAAATGTATTGATTATAATTCTACTATAAAATGTATTGTTGGTCATTTTGGTTTAAACATGTATTGTTGGTAATTTTACTATAAAAATGTATTGATTATAATTCTACTATAAAATTTATTGTTGGTCATTTTGCTTTAAACATGTATTGTTGGTAATTTTACTATAAAAATGTATTGATTATAATTCTACTATAAAATGTATTGTTGGTAATTTTGCTTTAAACATGTATTGTTGGTAATTTTACTATAAGATTGTACTGATGGTAAATCTACTATAAAATGTGTTGTTGGTCATTTTGCTATAAAATGTATTGTTGGTCATTTTGCCTTAAACATGTATTGTTAATTTTACTATAAAATGTATTGATGGTAATTCTACTATAAAATGTATTGATGGTCATTTTACTATAAAAATGTATTGTTGGTAATAATATTTTATAAACATTTGTTGCTGCTATTATTTAATATAAAATTTATTTTTATACTTTCCTAGTTCTTGATTTTTGTTAGGGTGTTGACTATTTGTCCATAGCTGGGACCCTAACTGGTGCTAGCATCCCGGGTCAGGGTGAACAACAACAATTAAGAAGTAGCTTCTCAAAACCTGCAATCTACCGATGAGAGGCTTTGCTGCCGGATTTAGTTTATCGTCATACCCAGAACTACTAGAGTAGCGAGTGGGGGGAGATCTTAACCATCTGCAGAGGCGCAATCAGCGTATTTTGTAGTCCTAAGCAACAGGGATCTGTGTTTTATTAGAAACAGAATGTAACGAGCTCAGCCGGAATTCGAACTCATCCCGCCGATTTTTCTTCCCGAGACGCTAACCGTTACATTACCCGCATATTCATATTACATGAACTTAATGCTCACAGATCCTGAAAGCTTTGGACATTTCAGAACGACAAATATTTTCGTTTATGGTTTGCGATATAAATAACAGAAATGACTACAAATGTCACTTTCGGTGTGGGGGTGATCTTCATATAAATCCACTTAAATCCGAAAAGCGGGTGATAGCTTCACACTTAATGGACACATCACACTAGATGCTTTTAATTTAATGCAATACAAATGAATAATACCAGTGCATTAAATATCGACTGCAAGCAAAAATCTCCTTCGTAGAATCTAAGGGGTATTCATTAGCGTATCCGTCATTTCTCGACTGACATCCCGTGAGTAATCCTTCCGTTTACATGGAGGTCAATGTTATTAATCAATGTTTAATTTTCAATAGACTTCAGTCTAGATTCTATTATAATTTTATTACTTTTCTTTTATTGACTAAAGTAATTCAGATTAAGCGGAATAGAAAAGCTTCCCGAGATGACATTATCTGCAGAGATTTTGCGTTTCCAATAAACTGATGAGTTCTGTCCTTCCTTCAATGGCGGGCTTATTGCATTTTGCGATCATATTTCATGCATTTTGTCTATGTATGTCGATCGCAAAATTAGCATCATTATTCTATCGGAGTATATGAAAATCGTTGTTCGTTTTACGTCTATAGAATTTTCCTGCCTTAATATACCGTTTTGAAGTAAACGTTTATTTCCATTTTCATTATTTATATTGTAGTTTACCAAAAACACAATAATAATAAAATTAAAAATATGTATTGTACCGAGAACATAATAATCGAAAAATATCTTTTTGTTTTACCAAGAACACAAAAATCGAAAAAATATGAGTGATAATTAACTCACAAGGCCACTATTTTTCAGAATGATGCTGAGGATACCATGGACCCAACATGTGAGCAACGCCGAGGTTTTAGAGAAAATGGAAACAAAAAGGAAACCTATGCTTAACATGAGGAAGAGGCAGTTTAAATTTTTGAGATACTCACAGGACAGATTGAGGAAATGAGGGACATATGAAAACAGGCGTAGCATACTTGATGGGCTTGAGTTGATGGGTGGTGGAACAGAGTTTAGCAGAATCAGCAGAAAGACAAAATGTATTAAGACCTACAAGGGACAAGAAGATGTGAAGGACCATGATCGCCTATGTCATGAAGGGATGCTGCACACGAAGAAGATATCTAAAGCTTAACGAATAGGAGAATAATTATAGTGTAATGTTTCAAATATCTGTGGAGGGTTTTTGATTGCTAGCGTATGTTGTGCGTTTCTTTTCGTTGTCGACGGTGTGAAACAACCTAAAAATGATCCCAGTGCAACGAAAAAGAAAAGGTCAGTCACAAGGAGAGAGTGTAGTTACTATTCTCTCAGACACGCACTCATACACAAGCATACTGTAACTATACTGTTTATTTCTCATTTTTATATATGAAGGGTCTTTACCAATGTGATCTTACCATACAACCAGCGCATTTATACATTAGAAAGGCCTAGCTGAATTGTTCTATGCCATGTTTTTCACCGATTTTGATTTTTTTTATTCGTCTGTTACGTGTGTAGCGTCTCTCCCTTTCTCTAGATGGAATGGGATTGTGATTTTCACATAATCCGTTTTGACTACATGGAAAGGAAGAACGAAAACAACAGAGACGCACTCTGATTTTAGTGAGAAAAAGAAAGCATACATAATAAGAATAAGGAAGGAAGGAAGAAAGAAAGAAAGAAAGAAAGAAAGAAAGAAAGAAGAAATGAATAAATAAGTAAAGAATGGAAGGAAGAAAGAAAGAAAAACATGAAGAAATAAAGAAGGAAAGAAAGAAAGGAAGAAAGAAAAAAGAAAGGAAAAATAAGTAAAGAATTAAAGAAAGAAATAAAAAAAGAAAGAAAAGAATGAATGACTGAAGAATAAATGGAAGGAAAGTTGATAACACGATAGGGCTCTCGTACAATTAAGAGAGATAAAAGCCTGGTCAGTTTTGAAACTTTTCATTTATACACTCTTACTTTAAATAATGAAAGCATTCATAATAACAATAAGTAAGGTAGGAAGGGAGGAAGAGAGAAAGAAATAAGGGAGGAAAGGAAGGATGACTAAAGAAAGAAAGGAAGAAAGATAGAAATGAAGAAAGAAAGAAGGAAAGAAAGGAAGGAAGGAAGAAATAAAAGAAAGGAATAAATAATAAATAAATAAAGAAAAGAGAAAGAAAGGAAGGAAGAAAGAAAGAAAGAAAAGAATAAATAATAAAGAAAGAAAGAAAGAAAGAAAGAATAACAAAGAAAGAAAAGAAACGAATAAATGAAGGAAGGGAGGAAGGGAGGAAGGAAAGAAAGAAAGTTGATAACACTAAAAGGCTGTCGTACATTTAAGAGAGATAAAAGCCTGGTCAATTTTGAAACTTTTTATTTATACACTCATTTTAAATAATAGCCTACATCCATACTCCTAGTTGTTATTGCAATATTTAAATTTGTTAAATTCAAATATTTACCGATACAATAGGGCAATTTTTTCGTGTGTTTTATGGTCGTGGAATTTGCAATCAGCGTATTCAGTCATTAAATTATTATTATTGAATTATAATTAAAAAAAAAAAAAAAAAAACTTAAATAAACACAAATTTTTACGGCTACGACTAGTTACATATATTATATTTAAGGAAAGGAATTTCCTTGTTAGATGAAAAATATTTGGCCGTGAAGTCATAGCTAATATCTGACGGAAATTCATCAATGTTGAGAAAGATTCATATTTTGATGAAAAATCATTCATTAAAAACGAAGAAGGCTGAATTGTTATGTAATATCGGTTCTCTTCTATTGCAGTGAATGCTAGAAAATCTACTTACAATCGAGAGGAGGAAATAGAAATTTAGTGCTACAGAAGGATAGTGAGAATTCAACGCACTGAACACGTGAGTAACGACAAAGTTTTAAGGAAAATGAAAACAAAAAAAAACTTCTACTTAGAATCAGAAAGAGACAGACGAAATTTCCTGAGTACATAATGAGGAAAGTGGGCTTGTAGAACATGACATTCACATGACCTATTGAAAGTAAGACGGACAGAGTAAAGAAGCGAACATGTTTAAGTGGTTGGCAGAACATAAATCAGTAGAGCTAACAGAAAGACAAACCTTACGTAGAGCTACAAACAGGAAGAAGATGTGGAGAGTCATGATCATCCACATCATGACAAGACACAGCACATAGAAAATGTTATTTTGCTATAAAATATTCCATTTTTTCCGCTCTTACGAAAGATTATTAGATTTTCTGGTATTCTTACTATATAAGGTTTACGATGGGGTACCATGACGTGGTGTAATGGTTAACAAGCTTGTCTTGCTAGATCAATTACCACCGAATATTTAATGTTTAATACTTTCGGCCTTGTGCCACATCTAAGCTACACTTAGTAAATCGATATGAAGTTTGCGTGTATATATCTATATGTTAACCACGTAGACACACAACAGAATATAGAACTACAGCTTCACCACGCTCGGTGTTGCTGCTGAGGTTTCTGTAGCAATTACTTTTTTTACAGTGTGGATTTACTACCCTCGCACAAAAGTAGTTGTGAAATTAGAGTTGTACAAACTCATTCATTCAGGAATGATGTGTTTCTACATTGCTGTTCGATAAAAGTGACTCACCTGATTTTTTTTACTTAAAAATTTTTTCGCCTATTGTTTTTGGGGTCAAACTAATTATTAATCTTACTAATATAAAGACCCCTTCCAGACCACCTAGTAAAAAAGTTTACTCACCCTAAGGTATGCTATTGATAAGTATAATTTTGAATATAAATGAGATTTAGGGAAATATCTGTGCAAAAAAAGTGACTCACTTACTTCCTGCAACTAGCAATCAATAGAAACATAACCGAACAGCTTTAAATAAAGAATAATAGTGGTATAATTTATTTATAATATGTAATATAGTTCGAAATATTTAATAATCAATGGGTCCTCCTTTATTTTGAATAAACTTTTCAACCTTTTTTGGAATTGACTTGATTAGGTTCTGGCAAATCTTATCTCCAGGCATTGAATTCCATTCGGATATGAAATTCACAATCAAATCCTCTGTTGCTCAACTGCTTTCTCGAGAGCCTGTACTTTATAATGCTCCATAAGTTTTCTATGGGATTGAGGTCAGGATATTGGGGCGGCCATGTCATAACACTCACCTGCTTCTCATCAAAGTATTCCTTCATCAATTTTGATTTGTGACAGGGAGCATTATCCTGCATAAAAATGACCTTGGTGGGGTCGATTTGCACCTTTTCAGCAGAAAGGAGCAGACAAGACTCTAAAGTTCTCTTGTACTGCTCGCTCCTGAGGGTTTTTTCAATAGGTTTTAAGAAACCAGTTCCATGAAAAGAAAAGCATCCCCAGAACATTATACTGAACGGATGCTTGACAGTACTTACTGCTAAATTCAAAGAGCTTTCAAAGCTTCTTCTTCGGATTTTAGATCGCTTATCCTTTGAATTTAGCTCAACTTTCGTTTCATAGGAGAAGAGAACATTTAGTAAAAAAAATCAGGTGAGTCACTTTTATCGAACAGCACTGTATGCTCGTTTCAAACTTTGCAGTGATCTTGTTTTTTTTATTTAACATTTGTTGAACTCGCTGTTTTAAACTAGAATCTTGCCTTATACACGAACTGAAAACATTTACCAAAGTTTCCAGTGTCTTATTTACGCTATGGAGTTCCTGTTTTACAATAGAAAATTGCGTCTGGTACACGAGATCAAATTTAATCATTTTTTTTTTTGAATCGCTGTTGATGTGTATTTTTTTAGCATCTCTTTGTTATTTCCCCAGGGTAAGTAAATAGATTAATGTAACTCTCAGGAAAAAAAATATATCAGTATCTATCTATGATATAACGATGTATAATTTTGTATAATTTTATATATCAACAAACAGTATTTAGAAAAATATGACAAACTGGAAAATTTCTTATGACGTGTCACAAAATTTTTCCAGTTTGTCATAATTTTTCTTTCTTTCTTTCTTTCTTTCTTTCTATCTGTATATATGCATACATATATACACACACTCACACACACACACACTCACACACACACACACACACACATATATATATATATATATATATATTCGTGAGTATAATTTATTTTCTGTTTTATACTTACGAGGAGTTTATTTACATAGATTTATTATTTTAGTAATGAATTCATTTTACTCATGCCACCTTATGGCAGCCCGATGCACTTTTGCAATTTCGCCAATTATGATTTTTTATGGTGGACGAAAAAGTTTCCTTTTAACAGAAAAGAATGCCCTCCGTCATTTTTTAAACAATACACAAAACATTTGAACATTTCTTACACAATTTCCGTTCAGAAAAGAAAAGACATATACGAATACAAGACAAATTGAGGAAAAAGCTTAATCGCAGTATCTTATCAGTCGTATTTAATGAAAAGAAAGAGGGATTGCTACACAAATACACAATTATATATGAAGAAAAATATACGAAAAAAAAAAACAAACAAAAATCATAATATGCAATTATACTGTTTTAATGTTAATATAATGTCAACGTCGGACGTTTCAGTCTAATAGACCATCTTCAGGACATATTCATAAAACATAATTAACATTAGACCATATTCAATTAAACATGAAAAAGTCGATGGACATAAGAGCAAGACCAATCCAAACAGATAACTGAAATCTTTTATAAGATCAGCGTTCCGTTTAAATATGATCACGTCGTCGTCACGTGGGCGATGTTGTGAAAACTTATTCCTAAAATTTGAGTATTTTGAATGAAAAACGAAAAGAATTTTATTTTGATCTAAAACTTATATGTACGTTTGTCGAGCATTAATCTTGCTAGAAAAGAGGAAATATTAAAGAAGCCAGGTTTAGTGTTCACCGTGCGTAAGATAGATATTATGCCTGCTTCATAAATCCGCCTAAGATTTTTATTATGAAAATATTTTAAAATCTTCACAGAATCAAAATCGAAATTATGATCAGCTTTATATATATATATATATATATATATATATATATATATATGTATGAATTTTTTTATATTTCCACCTTGTGTTCTAGCAGAAGGTAATTGGTATAACCAGGGTATTTTATGTACAAAAAAGAGATTTATGCCCCTTGATATACTGTTTACTTTTGATCCAAATTTAAATAATTAATTATTTTTATTTTTGAATTCTTCGCTTTCCGAACTTAAGAATTTAAACGATATAAATAGTTAATTCTAATATTTTGCAGAAGAATAATTAAATGAACAAGTTTAACAGTTTAACACACAATTTTGAATCATCATCACGAGAATGCGAACTACATAACAGTCAGAACCTGAAGATTGCAAGAACTGTGTTATCGACGTTGATATTATGTATATTCACTATATATATATATATATATATATATATATATATATATATATATATATATATATATATGTGTGTGTGTGTGTGTGTGTGTGTGTGTGTGTGTTGTGCGCGCGCGTGTTTAAGCAGAAAGATAGACACATATTCTGTGAGAACATTCATCACTCAGTTTGTACAATATTCAGTATATAACATGTCCATGAATAAGTCAGTAACTCATCTATCTATCTATCTATCTATCTATCTATCTATCTATCTATCTATCTATCTATCCTTTTGATTGCTTATACATACATATCCGTAGGTATACACACACTCATATATATATCCATTTGCTGGCTGTTCTAATTTTCCGAACATACCCGTCTACTATGGCGGCTAGCCACTTCTTTCGACCCCATGTACTTTAAACTGAACCCATTGAAACCGATCTTAGTTTCAGTTTCTGGGAGAGAACGCATATATGTTCTGATCAGCAATTTGAACAACCTCGGTCTCGATGAATTTTGACCTCCTACTTGCACAACCGCGGACATTTCCCTCAACCTAATTTCGCTCAAAAAACATCGTATAATTTTAGGACACTTTCTGTTTAATCGAATTTACCGCCAGCAAGGCAGTAAAGCCACTAAGATATAACGGCTTACTGCGTATATTATGAAACAAAAAATATTATAAAGGAGCGAGAAAAATAGAAGAGTCATCAGGAAGACAGTAGATAACAATTGGCATTGCATTTAAATTTTTGAAGATCAATTTTGACCGGAAAGCATGGATGAAAGAAACTCTTAGTATAGATTTCATGGTTACATCTAGCCAGTTCAACTGTAAATGGGTGTGAGCTAGTTGCTAATCAAGTACTGCACTTAAATTCATAAAGTCTAGATAACATAGCGAAGAGCACATCCGAACAATTACCATGAAATTATTTATTGAAAATGCATAGGTAAGTAATTTTACAGCGGTGGGAAAGTGATTGAAGCCGAGAGGCCAGATCAGAACAAATAATATTGCCGATTCTCCTTTAGATTTTATCAAGAATCTCTACATAAATAGTAGAATTACAAGACCATATATGGCAGCAATATTCTCAGTCAGTTAGTTAAGTATCATACGTGATAATCTTTTGGGCGATCATGTCTCTTTCGATTAACAGCTGACTAATCAGAAGATTTTCCCGCTGTAGGTTGCCGTTTCTTTCTGCCGTAGACTGACTGCCAACCAAGACTATAGGACGCAGCCTGTCTTACTATTCAACCGATTGCTGGGTGTGGGTGGGGGAGAGGGATACATACTTTTCATAAGAGAAATCTGGTACGTAAATGGATGTAATGATTCGATCTTGGCTCTCCGAGTTTTCATTCCGAGCCGATCTCCATTACACCGTAAGGCACATTAGCAATTTTTTATTCATCAAAAATTTCGTTATTATATCGTAATCTCAGGCCAATAACATCACGAAGTTTCCTTCCTGACAAATCGATCCTGGTGAAATTCGAACCGGGGTCTTATGGTCGGAAAGCAAATGTTTTATAAACACGTCCACATACATACATAATTGGCCGCTCGTCAGCGATGACGCCTATCTACTCGGGCGGCTACACAGTCCCTGTTGTAAAGGCCTGCTCGGGCACATTTGTGTTTGTTCAACACCCACAGAGCTCTCCTGTAGTTTATACTGCAACTTTGCTAAGCAGATCTTAGTTACAGTTTCTGGAAGAGAGCGCATAATCTGGCGTGATCTACAGCAAGCTCAAACCTTCGGCCACGATGACTTGTGACTTCGTTCTAATACAACCATCGACGGTTCTCAAATAGTTCTGTCTATCGAACTTGCCTCACAAGGCTTGGGTCAACCCGTGGTATGGTGTTCAGGCACTTTCCAAAGGTGCCGCGTGCTAGGATCGCCTACTCCAGGCTGATAACGACAAGAAGTCATTTTCCTGAATAAGTGACCATGGTGAGATTCGAACCCACTCAGAAAGTGAACATTCTATCCACTCGGCCACGTAACCATACATACATACATATAAAAATAGTAGATAGCCACTAGTATTCGAGGATATCCCTCTACTATTGCGGCTAGCCAATCCCTATTGTAGACTCTCGTTCAGCCACATTTGTGTTTGTTCAACTCCCACAGAGTCAAACTGTGTTTTATATTGCAACGATGCTGAGAAGTTTCTGGGAGAGAGCGTGTTATCTAGAATGCTCAATAATCTGAACAAGGCCAGCACACTCAAAGCCTCGGTCACGATTACTTGTGACTTCGTGCTAGCACAGCTATCGACGGTTCCAAATGTTCCGTCTACCCAATTTCACTCACAAGGCTTGTTTCAACCGTGGTATACATACATACATACATACATACATACATAGATATCTATCTATCTATCTATCTATATATATATATATATATATATATATATATATATATATATATATATAATGAAACAGGAAGCTTAAGCAAGGAATTGATAGAAAAGAAAAACATCCGATATTCTGGCATGAAGTACATCTGAAATTTTGTTCTTTTACCAATGTCTCGTCGAAAGCGCGTAGAGTGTGCTTAATTTTAACAGCACCGCTCCAACGTCATGCTGTTGTCATTGCTTGTTTCGTGAGGAAAAGTCGTGTCTCAATAAGAAAAAAAAAATTCAACTAAATATAAATGATTAAGAGCACCAACACTCTCTCGAAAATATTTGGGGAAATTATGAAATGCAGGTGCCTTGTTTCATTATTAGCTGAATCATTATCGTTACAAGAGTTGGTTGGACGATTAATCTTTTGTTGTTTTTTGTTTAATACTGTAAAGTTATTACCTGGTAATTCACTGACATTTTCCAGGTGTGCAGTCATCGCTGAAGTTACATTCTGGAGTTTTGAGAAATTTATTATTCCAGCATTTATTGATTTAATTCTTTTTACGGCCGATAACTTCTTCGAGCTTTCTCACGTGTACAGTCCGTATCGATCTATTTTTACATGTGAGTAAAAATGCACGGCTCGACTGAAACTTTACATCACAACAAAAATAACAAAATGAATAGTCTGATTAGCAACTGGAATTAGAAATCATAATAAGTATGACTTAAAATAATTTTAGAGCCGGGAAAATGAGACGGTTATGAAAATTAGTTCGAGGCTTGCGCCATTCTAAATATTTCGACTAGTCGTTCAACCAATACAAGACCTAAGGGCCACTCAGAGTAGTGGGTTACTGAATGAAGTTGTTTTATGAACGTAAGATGGGGAAGTAAGAAGTGAAAATTATGAGGTGATATAGGAAAGATAACGGTTAATCCTAGAATTGAAATGGTTACGAGTGTAGTGATCGAGGAAGAAAAGTAACGGTTCAAGAAGCTGCTTGAATGGAACTGCTTTTGTTACTAAAGGAATACGAATAAAATTGAGATGATTCGTTTCAGTGTATGTGACATTGTGGGTTTTAGGTTTGAAGGTCTGAAATTGTAGCAAGAAGGTTTATAGCTCGAATTTGCCATAGAAATAACGTTAGGGTAGCAAGAGGTTTACGACGTTTGTTTGTGAGAAATGGGTTGTATAATGGAAAATAATTCACAACCCACAAGACAGGAAAGTGCGGGTCGAGCAACCCCATTCCGGATATGTTAGAGGTATTCCACATTTGATCTGATCTTGCTCTTGTAATCTTAGAGCATAGTAGGAAGAATTGGATACTTCCTGGAGTGATACAAGGAATCGTCTGTTTTCCTTGCATTTTTATATGTTACATATGATGTCTGGGCTGAACTTGTATCCCAGTAAACATTCAAGACAAGGGTCCTCACTCAGAAAAAAATAACTAATTAAACAACATGTATATATAAAAATGAACTATATATCACCAGTGAGTAGAAAAATCATTATAAAAAGTAAGAGAAATGTTGTCAACAAATCTGGAACACTTACAGGCTTAGGGACATATCACATTGAAACACCGGTTCTCCTCCGAACACCGAAGTTAAACAACGACGATTCTGGTCAATACCTAGATGGGTGACCGCTAGGAAATACTAGTTACTGTAAT